CAGCATTTATTTGATCAAAACAACAGAAAATATATAATCAGGGTTCCCACGCCTTGGTTAACTTCAAATTCAAGGATCTTTTAAGGACTTTCCAGGTCCAATACCCTCAAAATCGAGGAATAATAATAATATAAATGCGCGTAACTAACGTAAATCAAGCGAGCTAGTATGCATAGGCCACAAAGTGTTATAAATACACTTTCATCCGAACGGAGGGAATGTGGAAATTTTTCCAGAAAACTTCTTGCACAAAATAAATGCAAGCACTTTCAAGGATCTGTATCTATGTATGTTTATTTTCCCCCAAAAAATCCAGGGCCTTGCATTTTTTTCAGATTCACTTTCTTTAAGGATTTCAAGGACCCGTGGGAACCCTGTAGTATGCTGATTTATTGTCAATGTTGGAAACAGTTGTGCTGCTTAACATTTTTACAACCTGTGATACTTTTTTTCTGGATGGGGTTAGGTTTTTTCCCCCAGATACTTTGATGGATAAAAAGTAAAAGAAAAAAAGAACAGCATTTATTTAAAATACCATTCAAAAGTGTGGGTACAGTATTTTTTCTTTCTTTTTTTGAAACAAAATATTACTTTTATTCAGCAAGGATGCGTTAAATTGATAAAAAGTGAATTATATTTTTAGAAAAGGTTTCTAATGATACTGAATAATTATCTTTTTCATCCACAATGATATTTACATGTTTCTCATGGGTAACTTACTGTCATGGTATAACCATAGTAAATGTTAATGGAAACTGTAGGCCTGCCAACTCTCAAGCAATTGACACTATATTCACACGCTCTCACGTTACACATCCATTTTCTCACGCAGAGAAAAATCGCGGACAGACAAAACAGAGCTGGTTACTTTTGATATGAAACAAGTTTCTCAGCACTCAAATTCTATCAATTTTACGACGAAATTCAAACAATAAATACCACAATAAATGCTGTTTTGACACTTGTAAATGTGACGTTTAGCGCCTCAGTTCAATCGGCAGGTGAACCGATCTCACTATTCTTCTTTACTACTAACTTAATTAATAAACACGAATGAACAATATACATACTATCGATCAATCAGTGTTTTTCAACCGCGGAAAGGGGTCAATAAAACAGCTGGAGAACAATAACGTTAAATTTACCTCAGGAAAGCCATTGAAATTTGTGTCAAGCAATAATAAAACAGTAACGTTAGCTATTTTTCCCAATTTTCACTCCAAGCTAAACTCAAAAGTTGGCAGCCCTGACTTAATACAGTGGTCCATGTCCAAAAAACCAATAAGGTCCATTTAGTTACTGTAATCTAAATGTAACTTACTTTGCAAATTGAAGTCTGTGAGCTTTATTCCTCGAGAAATGTGAACTGAGGTTTGGTATTGTCTTACAATCTGTCGCCTATGAGTTGTGTGTCCGTTAAAACGGTTAAACCTGGTCAACACGCTCAATTTCCTGGCTAAAACCATAGACTGTAAAAACACTCGCTTCTCTCCTAAGTTACATAGGCGCTTTCACCTGTGCAGGTGAAACTGGGCATAATACGTGACGAGTAGTTAAAGATATTATAACCTGACGGTTACGTTGTTAAAAAAAAGTAGATTTCACAAATATAAAATCCTCGAGCGTGATGATTAGCAGTGACTTTTAAACGCGCGTGAAGGTTTTTTGGTCTGTCTCCATGGTAACCTCTGGCACGAGCCATGGAACTCCAGATCCCCGCGAAAACTCGCGGTTAAGAGAAACAAACACCCCAACAGTCACCACAACAAAATGACTCATGTTTGGTCAATGGTCATAATAAAAAGAAAGAAAGATTAGTAGCTAAATATCATATTAGCTCATTGGTGTTATTCTATTTTGACACGGGATTGGTGGTGTTAAACTTGCTCACCTGACACAAAGGCATCTGACCGGTGCATCACTCAGATAATACAAACCACTTCGTCCACCTTCAAGCGCTCCAGATCAATTTGTCCCATTTAAATTGTTATGAATTTTAGTCAAATGAGAGCAAAACTTTCACATTTGAGTGGTAATTCACTCCGGGATACGAGATAAGCTAGTATTTGTTGAAATGACTTTGAATTTCTTTAGTGAGGGAGCTAGCAAGCTAACAGAAGTTGAGAGAAAGAAACAACTGCACGAGCACAGCTAGCAGGCTGTTTTAGTGAATAAGCAGGGAACTTACCCTTAACGTTGTGGCGACCTATTACTGGAGCATGAGAATTATTCCCATGTGACGTTTATTAAAATCCCAGATAAAGTGTCAATGCGTAGTGTGACTTCCACAAGGAGTAACCGCCTGTCCAGTAGCGGCCATCTTTACCCCATATCCAAACAAACAGGCGGAAGGATACCGTTCTCATTTTAATTAAAACATAATTTACTGTGAATCCCTATCTGTTCGTTATATATTTTGACATTAAAAGTTGTATATTTGTATTTCAAGACGAGATTATCAAAAGGTCAAGCAAGCGAACAAACTGAGGCCATAAAAGAGTGGTACTATTTTACTTTTCGGAAGCATTTGGGTAGTTGTGCGCAATGTCTTAAAAGTACAGATGCTGTGAAATTGTAACTGATGGAATGATGGTGATAAGTGAAACATAGTATAAATATTTTACTGATAAGATGTCAAAGAAAAGTGATATTATGTAATGCAACCTTGGTCTTATTAAAAACACTCTTATTACGTAAATGAATCTATATATTAGACAATTCATAGATAGACCATATCGAAACTGAATTCATGAAAGAGACTAAACAATAGCCTATATATGTGACAGTGACAGTTGTTGTATAGAACAATGTCACTTGAAGGACGATAAGAACAAAATGACAAGGTGAATTAGCACAGCCAAACTATTAGTACGTAACCTATTAGCTTGAGGATGAACATTAAGAGACTCACAAATGCATTATAATAAAAAAAAGATAGATTAGTAGGTTTTATTGTTATAATTTATTTTCTTGTTACAGTGTACTTACACAAATAAGTACTAAGTAATTTAACATGTAGCCTACTTACTGGTTAGGGTTGGTTAGGGTAAGTTGCTTGTAGTTATGCATTTTGCAATTGACTGTAATTACTTCACTAATACATTTAATGTGTAACAAGGACAGTGTAAAAGAAAGATTTACCGGTATTATTCTAAATTAATTGTCAAACACTTATAAATGGTTTTAGGCTTAATTTCACTTGCATTAAAGCTTTGATTTGGCTACCCAGTTTGGACAGACCTTCGTGAGAGTTCATCATGGAATTACATTCATTTTGAACAGATTTTTACAGTTAGTGCATATTTCTACCCGAATAGAGCTTTGGGTTGTGTTTGCACAATCCCTAAATATATGGGCATTATATTGATCCATAGTAGGGTGTCAAAATCATGCAGTAGAGGAATAATGTCAGCATTTTCTCAGTGCATTTCAATAATCAAATACTGTTAGCTAATGTAGTCTGTGAGGAATCTCATACAGTTATTGACATATGCACACGTATGTGCTCTCTCTAACATGAACAGACATGCCCTTTATAATATATCATTCCTGGCCTCTCAGGCACACACACCACAAGAAATACTTAAGCTCTATAGTGTGATACTTACCATCTGCCTAGTAATAATTATTTATATTTGCAGTTTGCTTCCCTTTCAAGTTTTTATACTGAAACAAATGTGGACATATACATAACAAAAATGTAGGAATAGCTCAATGAAATATTCAAGCATGTCTCAAACTCAAATATACCATTTATAGACACATTTTTGTGTGTTTGTAAACCTATCTTGTCAGTAGTCCACTTACAGGAGAACATAAAAACTTTGCATTTCCATTTATATCCACTAGGGGTCACTCTATTTTATACAAAATGATTTGTCATTCCACATCCTCCACATACAGTGGAAAGTTTTAGCTTTAACCACAAGGTGGCAAAATAGGTTAAAGGGATAGTTTATGCTCACTCTCATGTCGTTCCAACCACTGTATTTTTTCTTCTGTGGGGATTATATATATATATATATATATATATATATATCAATCATAGACTGTAAAAAATGATATATATATATATAGTTCAGTTACCAACATTCTTCAAAATATTGTCTTTTGTGTTTTGCAGAAGAAAAAAATACATGAGTGAAAGTAAACGACGACAGCAAGTTTGTTATGCTCTCTTACAGAAAAAGTGTGAGATAAAACTGAGTGGAAGTTTGAGAGAATCAAACCAGAAGTGACGAATGCACGCCAGATTTGGCCCAGAATCTGTTGCTAGTTATATTTTAACTCCCTAATATTTCCTCTGTGTAACTCTAATGCATTTCTTTATTACCCATTTAAACAAATTCAAAATTTAAAAATCAGAAAGTAATTAAACTTCATGTGCTATTTGCAATACAATAAACAATACAAAACATAAGGATAAACATTCAAAAATTTAATGCATTAATTAAAAAATAATAATAATAAAATAAAGCAAGGAAGGGCACTGCGGTTGAGATAGGGACACATTCACACCTAAAGCGTTCTGGATGTGAGGGCCACTGGACACAGTTTGGGAGAGAAGTAAATACATTCCACAATATTAGGAACAGAGATCTGGATCTAGATGCAATCCAGTTAAAGGTGAGGTTGACATTTAAGCTTCTTTCTTGAAAAGTCTTTTTTCCCCTTTCTGAACAATACCTTCTGTAAATATGCTCTAAAAAGAATCAACCCAAGCAAATAGAGGGCTTTGCATCCTGTTTTCAATCCTTTCTGCAAATATCATATAGTGTTCTTGTGAGCATACAATGAAAAGGACAGCTTTACATATTTTACATACTATATACAAACCATTTTTAATTTAAAAAAAGGGATAAAAGAGCACAAGTATAACAGAAAATGACAGTCCGAGGAAGAGGTACTCTATGTACAAGCCCTGAGGTATGTTCCCTCCTCAGAGAAATTTTTGTGTATGTATGTGAAAGATGTGAGAGACAGACAGACAGACAGACAGACAGACAGACAGACAGAAAAGAACAAACAGGCATGTAACAGGACAAGGCAATTCCTTGATCTAGAAGTGCAGCTGTGCATCATTGTCTTTAACTGGAAAAGGGAACAAGTAAACCATACAAGTCTTTACAAAGTGTACAGGTCCTATTATAGGAATAAAATGGCCAAAAGGTCCATAGGTGCCTCTGAGTTCAGAGGTTATCTGGGTGATATGGGGGTAGTGGAGAAGGAGGCGGAGTTTTGGGGCGAGGGGAAGGGAGAGGTGGGCGAGATGCGTCGAGGGCTGCAGAGGTCTCCGTTGTGTAGTTTCCACAGCAACTCCTCGTTCTCCATAGATAGCCGTTTGTTGACCTTTGACTCTTTCTGTAGGGTCTGTTGAAGCATGGCCTGCTCTGAGGAGAGCTGCCTACAGTCAAACAGAAAAAAAAGATTTTAAATTCTCTGCTTTAAGAAAATAATACACTAATATTATAAACTAAAATGCTGTTGGATCCCCAGAAATACTCAAAGGAGAAGATGACGAATCAAACGCCTTAAATTTTTTAATCTTACTTTGAAAGTGCAGCATGTTTGTCCATCCTTGCCTTGTAGTCCTCGTTCTCCTGCTGGACTTTATTTAAACACTCTTCCAGTTTCAAATTATCCTCAATCTGTGAACAATGAAAAAAACATTAACATATTATTTATTCATCAAACAGCCACTATGTCAATGGTAAACCCCAAATGAAATTTCTTTTTTCTATACATTGATCTATAATAATGATTACCAAGACACTTTGTCTTTCTGGATTTCTGTGGGTTAGAAAGTTTAAATGTGGCAAGTTACAGCAGGTCTACTGATGGCTATTCCTACTGGGATAGTTCGCTCAAATTTAAATTCTGTTATAATTTATTCACCCTCATGTTGTTAAAAACCTGTATGCATATACTGCAGAACACAAAAGAAGAGTGTTTTTATGCATACAACTGAAGTCAATGGGGTCCAATGTTATTTTGACATTATTATTTGACTTTCATTTAAAAACATTCTTCAAAGTATCTTCTTTTGCGTTCCACAGAAATAAAAGGAAGTCAATCAAGTTAAGAAAGACCTACGGGAAAGCAAAATTTCATTTTTTTGGGTGAACTATTTTTTTAAGGTGATCAATCAATAAATATCTGACAGTGCATAATTATGTGATGGGAATCATGGGAAGCAACATCACAGCAGACTCTTCCTTTAAATGACAGGAAGGCAGTTGACCTGGCAAAGGCTAATTATACATACAGTGATATACAGTACTGTATGTATATATATAAAACAGTACGCATCCTCACCAGTTTGTCCATCTGCATGAGTTTCTTGTCTTGCTGGTGTATCTGGTTGGTCTTTATTTCCAGCACAGCCCTGAGACTCTCCAGCTCCTGTTCCAAATACAGTGTGTGGGCGTCCTTCTGCACACAGAGAAACAGGTGCTCAGTTTGTGTTTCACACCATATGGGAAGACAAAGAAGTACACTGAACATCTCTATGGATCGCAGGCTTGGCATGGGCCACAGTAACTGGCTTACATGGACGTCCCACTAACCCCCTTGAAACTATGGTTGGGTTACTGTTAACAAGCTTGCCGAAATAAGAACAAAAGAAGCACACAAATCTACACATTTGTAATGGACTTTATTAGGATCAATTCTTAGAGTGTTGTTATTGCTAAAGGACAAGTTCGGTATTTTACACTTAAAGCCCTGTTTTAAGATCGTTTCTGATGAAATAGAACGATTAAGATTGAAATTTGGACACATGCTGCTGTCCCGAGAATTTTCGGTTTCTGTGGTTGCACCCCCCCACCTCCACAATGGTTGCATAGGTGGACTGGAACAATCCTTACTAAAACGCATTAAACTTTAGTTTAGAAAGACGTGAAACTCACCGAGTGGTCAGGGGTGTTCACTGATATGCACACACAAAAATCGCTACAAAAGATGTTTTCCAACAGGAGAGTGAGGAGAGATATGTGAGCATATCAGTGAACACCCCTGACCACTCGGTGAGTTTCACGTCTTTGTAAACTAAAGTTTAATGCGTTTTAGTAAGGATTGTTCCAGTCCACCTATGCAACCATTGTGGAGGTGGGGGGGTGCAACCACAGAAACCGAAAATTCTCGGTACAGCAGCATGTGTCCAAATTTCAATCTTAACCGTTCTATTTCATCAGAAACGATCTTAGAAACAGGGCTTTAAGTGTAAAATACCGAACTTGACCTTTAACTTTTTTAACAGAAATAAAGCTGAAACAAAATAAAATATATAAATATTAGATGAAAAACTTACCTTAAACTTAAACGAAAATTAGAAATTTTGCACAAGTTGAAGCTCAAAATTACTATCTAAAATGTAAATAAAAATAAACCTAAATAGAAATATATATATTTTTAAAAACTAATAAAAATAAAAGCACATAATAAAATTATTAAAACTAATTCAAAATATTGATAAATACTATAATTCTATATTACTGGTAGTTTTGGACCTTGTTATATGAAGTATCCGCATCAAATCAGTGAAAAAATTATTTAAATTCACCAACCCTGTGTTTTACTGTGACTAATGCATATCATTGCAAAGTGCAAATTTTACCTGACTTTTGTCTGCCAGAGCTCTCCTCCGCTCCTCCTCCGCTCTCAGTCTTTCTTTCAAAGCCTCGTTTTCTGCTGTCAAAGTCTGAATTTTCTCCTGTAGGGGAGAGAACAGTGATTGAATAATATAATATAATATTTTTTTTAAACAATGATACATACACATTATTTGCAATTTGCAATTTGAGTAAATATCTCAATACTACATTTTTAGAAATTCAATAGTAAGTTATTGTAACATATTATTCATATTCGTAAGTTAAATGGTAAGATGGTGATGCATACATTGAGCATAGCCTCAGATTCCTTCACTGTTTTATCAAGTTCTTGCTTGTCCTGTTCATGTGTCTTCCTGAGCTCTGGAAAAGAAACAAAAACATCTGATTGATCTCGTCTTGACAGAATAGATTACATCAAATTCAAAATATAGAACATTAAATGAAAGGATACACAATAGGCCTTTTCATGAGTGCAGTGAAATTACCTGCAAGTGAAGTCTCATGTTCATGTTTCAGTTTTGCTATCTGCTCAGTGTGTGCCACTTCCTGTTGATTCCTCAGAGCTTCTTGTTTGCTCCTCACATCATCCACCTGTCAGTGGAAACCATACTCATCATCTTACAATGAAAACATTAAACATGTACTTTTTTTCCTTATGTTGTGCCGGTTGGTCCTGCAGAGCGGATGCAGCATCACGTAAAAGCTACTGATACCATTTATTAACACCCATCCATGATTAATTTAGAAACACAAACATGCAAATAAAAAGAGTGCACACACACACAAAAAAAGAAGCACTCACACACATGTAATATTGCGTGATTGAAGCTGTGTGATTTGAATAGTTAAACGTGTATATAAGACTCGTGATTTCTTTGTGAAAGCCCAGGTGAGATCTTACCTGCTGCTGCATGAGCGCCCTGCATTTATCCGCCTCCCTCTGATAGGCCTCGTGGGTCTTGTCCCATTCTGCAGAGTAGAAGTCCTTCAGTCTCTCCTCCAGCTGCTGTAGTTCTGTCTGATGCTGCTCCTGTAGTTTCTGGAACAATGCTTCCAAAGTCACGCGCACCTCCTCCTTTTCTTTCTCCAACTGCTCACAACATGAGACAGAGTTACCTGGGGAATGAGTGAAGGAGAGGAGCATGTTAGGAACATGAGTCTTGGTCATCAGCACTCTCAAGACTATATAAACTTGGCATTGGTCTTATTGCTCGGTGGGTGGCTTGGTCTGGATATGGGTCTCCAGTTTATTTCCATCATACTATGTTTAACTGAAATGAATGCAAGAATAAATTCTCCCTTTTTTTTTTTTCAGTTCACTAAAATACTTTTTAAACAGGTCTCGGCCTAAATCCAGGTCTTGAAGAGTTTGGTATTGGTTTAGTCCTTAAAGGTTCTGGTCTTGACATTAACTTTGGAATCTTTAAGAGATTCTAGAAATGTTATTTTATTTCTAGATTGTACTGGAAATTTAATTTATTCTAGAATGTTCTGATGGTTTCATTCTCTACAGAGACAGTAGAATCTAGAACGCACCAGAATAGAACCTAGAATGTACTAGTGATACAATTATGTAAGGAGTTAGAATTCTAATTCTAGACTGACAAAAACAAAAATTAAAATTAAAAAATCTCAAATTGAATCAAGTCTAGAAAGTTTTGATGGTTCAATTCTCTAAAAAGCCAGTAGAATCTAACATAGAATCTTCAATGCACTAAGTGGTTAAATCCACAAAAGGATCAATAAAATCCGAATGGAATGTACTGGTAACCACACCATTTACACCAAAAATTACATTTAGTATGTTTGTGTGTTATCTTTATGCATGTAGGAATGAATACTTTATTCAGCAAGTGACAGTAAAGACTTTTACATTAAGTTTTATATATATAAAAATAAAAGATTCATCTGAGAACATTAACCATAAAAAGAAATGTTTCTTGAGCACCAAATCAGAATTTTAGAATGATTTCTGAAGGATCACGTGACACTGAAGTCTGGAGTAATGGCTGCTGAAAAAATGCCACTTTGCCATCATGGGAATAATAATTATATTAGAATTATATAAAAGTAGAAAGCTGTTATTTTAATAATATTTCTCAATATTCCTGTTTTACTGATCAAATAAATGCAGCATTGGTGAGCAGACTTCGTTCTTTCAAAAACTTTTGAATGATAGTGTACTTAATTCCCTAAATATTGAGTAAAATCCAGAGTGAAATCTAGAATCTACTGCGGTAAGAATTATATTCTAGAGGATTGAACCACCAGTACATTTAAACCAAAATTACATTTACAGGTCTGCGGAGTGAAGTTAAGATTCACCTCAAATTTTCAGCGGACATTTAAATGTAGCATGCATGTGTTAGCATATGATCTTGAAGCCTCATGATAAATATTCTTTGAATTCTGTGAGGTAAAGGGCAGTGAACTTTAGGAGCAGAGTGTCATTTGGCCAACTGCACCTTCAGACTTGCATTCAGAAGCCAGTGTGAGTGAAACATTCCTCATATGCCACACACATCCTTCACACTTGTCCTGAAGCCAAAGGCCATGACAGTGCGTAAGGCCAAACTAATTAAACATAACATCACATCCTTAACATTCTACAGCATTAGAAATGTGTGTGTCCGGGCTTGCCAAGAATGTGTGTGTATTTGAGTTCAATGTACAAACGCATCATCGAGTAATCATATTTTGTTGCTAACACATACAAATAAAAACACAGACTCCAAACATAATGAAAGGCTGCCAAATGTCTACAGGGTGTAATAAAACAGGTGGAGTGCGATTGACGTGTGGTCGATCGTATCGGTTTCCCAATTCCCAAACACTGAGCTGTACAGTTCCATCAATACAATGCTCATCAGAAGAGCATAACACAGGATAAAACATGAAACAGCCTCACTCTGGAATGTAGGAACATCACATATATTTGACTGGCAAATCACTCCAAGGCAGTGAAGCCTCATACACGTGCTAAATGGTGTTCATGATAACACAGACAAAGAAATATTACTAGAATTTTACACATTCTGAAGACAATTTGAGTGACGCTTGCCACCACAATGCCAAGGCTAAGCCAAAAAGAGCCCAATCTTAAGTTTCGGTGATATTCTGGCCTCTAAATATGGCTCGGGTAAATTAAATTCTGCAATCTCAGGTAGGTGTGATCCCGAAACTAAACACTCCCTCAGCCCTATTTTATCAGGATTGTGCCCTTGAGCAAGGTAGTTATCCCAAGGTTTCTCACAGAGACTTTCCCTACAATTAGTGTTCTTCAAGTCACTTTGAATAAAAGCACCTACTAAATGTCAGCTATCTAACCAACATGAAAGCTTACGTTCTGTGAGCTTTGAGAATGGACCTCTGTGTATTTGACTGGACATGTGTTGCTTACCCAGTTGCTCTTGCAGGTTGTTGAGTTGGACAGAAAGTTCTTCCCTCTGTTTGACTGCCACCTCATGCTGTAACAAATGACAGAAACAAAACTGAAAAACAATCGTTCAAACCAATCAAGAAATGTAAAAGGATAGCTGACAATAATATGTTTAACAAAGATTTTGGACTTAAATATATATAGAATAAAAAAAAAAAAAAAAAATAGACTAGAATAAATCATTTATATTCATTAAAAAATATGTAGTTTAATGAAAAATATGAGGTCATAAAAATGGCATAATTTTTATATAATACAAAATTTAAAATACAAATATATAATACGAAAAGCAATGTATTTTAAATATTTTTTTTTAGAAGTATAGCATGTCACATTGCAATATTTCTTAATTTTTTTTTTTACATGTGGCAGATCTGGTCTACTGTAACAAACCAAATCTAGGGGACAGACGTTTTATTTTTTTATTTAATAAAAAAACAAAAAAAACAAAACAATGAAAGCTTATTTTCATCAATTATAATATAAATATTAGCTGAAAAACTACAAAATGTGGAACTTACATAAATAAAATATGTTTAATTTGAAGTACTAAAATTACAAAAATTAAAATATTTTTTTTAAAAGAAATAAAGCACATAACAAAATTACTAAAACTAAAATTTAGATGAAAACTGAGAATATAAAAATAGCTAATACAAATCACTGATACATACTATAATAGTATACATGACATTAAAATAACACTTATGTCCCACCAAATACCCTTAATTTTGCCAATTATTTGTAAATTGAAATTAACTACTGCTTTACTTATAGCCAATGAACTTAAATGAGCCAATGTTTAGTTGAACAAGACATCAAACACAGTTTAATCACAAATCAATGCTTAAACTTAATCAGTTAATTCATTGATTAATTGGCCGTTTAATGTTGGTACTTTTTTGTCTATTATAACAATTAGTTTATTTATTTAAAAGCAACATTAAATAAGACTCCTTCACGGACCACCAGTGGTCCAAAATTTGAGACCAGCTGCACTACTGAAAGCTGCAGGTCACTCATTGAAATTTCGCCAAAACTTCTACAAAGTTCAAGATATGCTTCAATTCGACCCCACAGATGTTTTAAAGAGCCAACACATTTTATTATTCATTTTACACACTGAATAAACACCCTTAGATACTAACTATGTTCAAACATACTACAATCCCCAAGCCGTGGCTCTCAGCTTGACACTGTCAGTATTGGCAAAATGGGGTGTTGTTGTTGGATAAGAACCATCTCAATCAGTTTCTTATCAGCAAGCGTGATCAAGGGTCAGTGTGAGGCCGAATTAAATGTTTCAGGAAAGACATGTGTGTGTCTGTGATCAAGCGCCGGTTAATGTCACAGTAACTTCTACATAGCCAAAGATCACACAGCCTGGAAAAAGATTACTATGTTCTGTGATAAAGACTGCTAAACACGTGATAGACAAACTTAACAGAACATGCTGACACACAAATCTCCAGTCAAACTCCATGTTATGGTTACTTTTACTATACTCGCACACACTTGGGTTCACAGCCTAAGATACGAAGACAGGGGTTTACACCTCTGAACCACTCAAACACACACTCAGCATGGACAAAACACACAAAGAAGACTTTCTGTGAAATAAAAACACATGATTGTGCACTACACAGTATTGCATGCTGAATATAATTTCTGATAACAAACTGGAATTTGAACCACAAACAAAATATATTACTCCAAACCTAATCATCACAGATGCACAACAAATGATACACGACTCAGAATTTCCTGCCATTACAAAACATCAATCACCCAACAAGCCTAACAATGGTTTTGCTGTTGAACAGGAAGTTAAGCATCAAAAAAGCCAACACATTGAGAAAGAAGTTACTGAGAAACAGGGTAGTAACTAGTAAATCTACCAATATCAGTAGTTGTAAAATAACCACTCAAAATTGAGAAGAACTAGACAGCACCTTGTGATTCTTCTTGGAGCCATGATGTTTCTTTAGGCCAGGTTTGCTCCCGGAGGAGCCCATCTTCTCCTCCTGCCCTCTCCTCTCCCCTAAAACCCAACAATCTTCAACTACTTTCCTCCTTCTCTACTCTAAAAACTGGTCTGTCAGCATCAGTCTCCAGGCACGCTGCATTAGAAACCGTTCCCTCCCTTTCACTGACCTGCCCCCGTATTCCTCCTAAGAGAGAGGGAGCGCAAACTCAGATGAGAGAAAATGGAAAGATGAATGTTGAAGGAGTGAGTAGGTGGAAAACTCAGTTCTGTGGTTATGAAGAAAACCTTTTTTTGGCTTTATGGGCAAGCAATTTGATTGGTCCTTACTGATATAAGTAATAGATGAATCACATTTTGCCAGGGTACATGGAAAGAAGTAAGTCCAAAAGGTGATATCAGAGTTACATAACATGGCTGTTTTATAAATGAGATTGCGCTTGGTGCATTGGAGTTTATATAACGTTATGGTCAACGTGGGAACCATTACATGGCAGAAGACTATAGGTCTGCAAAGCTGATCAGTTAAAGTTCAACTATAAACGGGGGGAGAAAAAATATATGAAGGATTTGGACAAATGAACACATCAAAAGAAAAAGTACCAAACAGGTTTGAATTAAATCCAAATGCAAAAATTTTGATGGCAGTTCAAGCATATGCAAATAACCTATTAGCATGTGCTTGAATGCTTTTTTATGTTTTCAGGTATGATTTTATATGACAACTTTTAAATGAAATAAATAACTTTTCAGTGGACATTCAAGAGCAACATTTTCCACTAAAAACAGGCTAAAAACGACATGCAACTATATTCTATGAATTACGGTATGGTGGAAAGCGGGTGGGCGGGTACAGAGAAACATTGCTCTACTGTTATCAGCCAAACAGCTGTGAGGTGGGAAAAATACACCCTGCCCCTTCCCTAAGTCCCGCCCCCTTGGGCTCAGTAGCAGCTGGTGCATTCCTCACAGCAACATCTCACCTCCTCTGTGCTCACTATCAATCACTGTGGGTGACACAAGTGCTAAAACTGTCAACTTTCCCTAAAGCAAAGTCTCTCTTTTTTTCATTGAGCGGAACGAAAGCAAAAGATTTGTGTGTTTCCTAGAGAGCATGTGAGTGTATGTGGGGTTTCTGGAGTAGAAGTGCCAAATTTGTGAAGTATCCTTGGTGTTTTGTTTTTTTACCTGTTTGGATAAGAAGAATTGATGGCGGGGCGACATGCTATTACTGAGAGATAAGAAGATAAGATAATAAATTCGCATTTATAAGGACACTGAGGAATGCATGGAATGAGATGGAAAAGGGACTGACTTGAAGTCTAAGAAAGAAAGAAGTTGTGGGTTTCTGGGTGTAATTGTACGCCTGGGGTCAAGATTACTATGGGTGTGGGGTGCACATTGAGTAACCTATTAACATAGTTACACTAACATTAGCACACATAAGCCTACACAAGTCCCCTACTTTAAACCTAGCCAATAGTGTTTAGCTATAGGTGAAAATTTACCCTATTTACCTTCTCAATACATGTTTCTGGCCTTGTGCATGATTTATTTGCGCACATCATTTCAAGGAAAAAATATGTGTTGTCATAACCTTTCAACACAATTCTACCTCTGAAACGCCTTTTTTGGCTGCCATCAGCAGGCCTTATTTCACCAGCCTATCAGCACCAATCATTGTATGAAAAGTTTGCACCAATCAAAGAAAAATTCTTGTTGAATATTCTAAGTAGGTCTTTTTGAGTTTATGTTATATTCTTGTTCACTTTGATCTCTCCGGCCTCAATTAATCGCACCTAAAATTCAAAATCTAGAAAAAATTCTGCCAGCCATGCAGGAAATAAAGTAAAGATTCACACCTTCAGATCATCAAACATCAACAGAGAGTGCAGTGTATGATTCAATACAGCATTTTACACCTAGATGATTTTATCGTCAGCGGTTCTGCCTCAGGGCCCATGAGGGTGGGATTACGCTCATTCCTACTCTGTCAGAAAAAAACGAAATGCAAAACAGTAGGGTGTTACTACACCCCAATCAAACAAACAGTAGACTTATGAAACTTCATTCTCACACTTTTCTTCTAAGTTTACCACAGAAGTTTCAGAGTGATCAAAGCTGATTATACAATTTAATATACTGAAGACTAACTAATGCAGACTGAGTCTGTAGCTTTCACCTTCCAAACCTTCCTTAAAAAAGGTCTTCACAAACATCTGAGAAACTCCCTACTAAGATGTTAAAAAGGCATTCAATCAATCATGAGCAGTGTGGAAAAGATGCGTCAATGTCAGGTGATTCATTATTCCGTTTAACTAGTTTGGCAAGCTAAATACCTGAGACTTAACATTTAAAAAATGACTGAATAACTGGTTAGTTGTAATTTCAGTTTTAATGATAATATTTTTGAGACACCCAAAGAGAATGATTCTGATCTTTTCAACTCTAGTACTATCCTGCTATTGTGTTTACCTCATGGTTATTTGATGTATTCAGAGCAACGAGAACCCTTAAATACTCCTAGTAACACCTAGTGATTGACAGTCTCTTTTGATCTGCAAATATTTGCAAACCGAAAGAAAGCAAATAGAGATTTAGCGCTGTGACAGGTTTGTATCCAGGATACAGCCAATCACAAAATAAAGGGCTTTTTCAGACACTCCCAGATATTTGATCATGCCAGGCCCTAAACGTAAGAGTTTGATGGCTGACATTTAGTCAAAGAGGACCCCAATAAAACTGACTGTTTCCTCTTAAACTTGTTTGGCTTCTGTTGTGCTGGTTGAAGTCACTATCAAAGCTACTGTAGCCACATTTTATTTACAGAACAATGGCTGAGGGTAAGAAGTAATTTAAAAGAGGAAGATCAATGCACAAGTGCAACATCTAGCTAAAAAGGCCCATGTGTGGGTCTGATGGCGATGAGCATGAATGAATAGGAACCTGTTTTCGGGGGTTGCAAACAGATCACATGATAGGCTCAGGTCAAACTTGGCTTATTGACTGACCCAAATCATGCATGACATCTAGAGTGAACGTGAGAGAACATCCCCTTGCAGCCCTCTTAGTTCCAAAACACCTGGAAATGTTGGTTAATGGTACCACCATATAAAACGTTTCCTACTTCTGTTTTCTAGACATAACAAACAGGCCCATACGCTCATGACAAGCATCAGCATGCGATTATCCATAATTACATTTCAGATGTTTATAATTGCATCTGACCAGATTACAGTTTGAAAGGATGAAATGAAAATTTGAGATATCTGCAATTATAGTCAGACTAATGGAAAAGATGAAGAAGATAATTCGAATAATCATCATATAAGATCATCTAATGATGTTTTATTTAACGGTACACTATATTTCAAAAGTTTGAGGTCAGTAAGATTTTTTTTCTGAAAGAAATTAATATTTTTATTCAGCAATGGTGCATTAAATTGTGTTATATTTATAGTGACATTTATAGTGTTATAAAAGATTTATATTTAAAATAAATGCTGTTTTAACTCTATTTATCAAAGAACACTGAAATAAAAACACACCATGGTTTTCACAGAAAATATGAAATATATTTCAGCTTTACCATCAGGAATACATTATTTTAAATTAGTTAAATAAATAAGTTAAATTGAAAGTGCATTCACATTTTTGTAAAAGAAGGTTCGTTCCAGATATCTATATCTCAATTGCAAATAGTCAAATGTGACATACAATTTTCAGGTATCTTTACTGAAGATGAAATAAAACATATTTTATTTAATTATGCCAAATCTCATTCTCAAACAGAACTACCCTTTACTCCCAATTTACTACTAAAGAAAATTTAGGAAGACTAAAGAAGACTTGGATAACCTTAAATTAGTGCTTAATCACACACAGTCCCGTTTAAAACCCCCATTTTAGGCAGCTCTCTGCACGTAGACCAATATTGCACTACAGGTCAACAGACCAATAATGAGCACTAATCACTGCAAGGAAGTAAAATAGAAAATGAATAGGGAGAAAACCTGCATAGAGGATTATCTAGACAAAAAGAAAGAGAGAAAATATTAAACAGTAAAGCTTTCAAACCTCGCTGAAGATGTGCTGCACAACCAAGGCGAGAGCCTCCAGGCGCCGATTGCTGTTAGCGATGAGTTTACGGAGGTGCAGGATGCATTGACTCTTCTTCTCATTTTGAAGACGAAGATCTCTCTCTTCCTCTTCCTCCGTCGGTCCTCCTTGAGGACTAGCTGGGCTGTGCTGCTGTGTCCGTCCAGCTGTTGGCCCAGCAGCTTTGGGCACTTTAGGGCTCTTGTCCACTGTAAAAGAGCGCGTGTTCAGTGCGGTCATTACGTTCAGCATGATTTCACAGTCCAAAATCACATATACTCCTCAATTCAAAGCAAAAAACAGTTTTCTAGAAAAAGAAAACGCATACACACCCACACACTAGAAGAATATTAAGTTACTTAAATGATATCATAAGAAAGAAATAAACATGACTAATCGAAAGCTCTGCAACAAAAGCTTTAAGCAACAAACTCAGCCACACAAAAATGGACACTCTCTTGAGTCCTAGTGCATGCTGGGATCGAATCTTAATGATAATGCACTAAGGTCCAGAGAGCACATTAAGAGTGCATTAGAAGGAAAGAGAGAGAGAGAGAGAGAGAGAGAGAGAGAGAGAGAGATTGTGTGCGTGTGTGTGTGTGTTGAGAGTGCATTTTGGCCCCATCTTCTGAAGCCCATAATCTGTGATGAATACTGACTCACAGATCTCTCGTACAGAAAAGAATCAATATATCTACACCAACCATTTTCACCTTAATAAATCAGTTTATAACCATATATGGATATATGGATGCATATGGATATGGATGCATAGTGAGAAATCAATTACACTGAATACATCTGAAATGTAGAAAAATAAGTATTATCCTGTTCACTATATATTAGTGACATGGAAATCCATGCACCATCAAGTTACATTAGATACAATTATTTCATACTTCACCCCCAATAACATTCTTTATAAGGTTATAAAAACATAATTCATTGCAAAACAAATTCTCACTTTAGTTATTCACCTTCCCTTACTGTCAATTATACAAAAGACACAAAGTACAAAAGTATATATCTGACTATTTCACTATTATTAGTCACATTATAGATTTTTCATTTTATTTAAATAGCCAAGCAGTGTAACAAATTATTAAAATTTATATTAAAATAGTCCATGTAGTCTCCCAATGTATATGAGGTCATAAAATGTATAATAATTGTACACAAATTATAAAAAAAAATACATGTACAGTCATTGATGTGATGCTGCCATTGCTTCACATATCAATCACCCATGTTTAAGCTTGTTATGTATTAATTTGATATTTAAAGCTTAACATGAGGATTAAGACAGATGAAGGCTGGATATATGTGTAATTTTGCTATTCTGTTGGCTTCTCTCAAACTCCCAGGACTACTGTAGGGATGACATTTAACAAGAACTGTAATTTGGATGGTAATATAGTCCTCATTTAAATGTAATCTATATTTACACAGCAACCTTAAAATATTCCATACACGAACCTGCCAACTAACCACAAGAAACACATGGAAGCGGTGAAAGGTACAACTTGAATATTTCTCGAGTCTAGTGGACTGATTTGACAGCCACCCTTAAAGGGATAGTTCACTCAAAATAAAATGAAAATAATTATGTCATTAATTTATTTATCGCACAAAGCTGTCATATGGCTTTCAGAACAGTCATATAGCTCAATATTGAATATAGCTGAATATAGCCATACGAACTTTACTCTTATGATGTTTTTTGGAGCTTTGATAACCCCCATCACCCCAAAAAATAATAGCAGAAAATAGCAGCATCAACATTCTGCTAAACTTCTATTTTTTAGTTTTGTGTAGTAATAATAATACAAATAAAAAACGTCAAAAATGTTTGGGGGTGAGTAAATGATGACAGAATTGGGTGAACTATACATTTCAACCACCTTCCATGAATCACAAAGTCTCTCTGATGCCCCCTGCTGGCAGATACATTCAGAATTGTGTTGACCCACATATTCTGATCACATAGCTTCTTTTATGTGCATTTTGGACATTAAGTCACACAACAAATGATCAACACAACATTCATCACTCTTAATGAAGGGAGACTGTTTGAAGTGAAGTGTCAATATAGCAATATATCAACCGCCTGTAGAAGTTACACAGACATACAGTTTATACACAACACTACATTCATATTAGTCTTTGATACTCTTTAATAAGAACACTCACTATAGGCAGTCAGTGTATTTAATGAAAACAAATCTAGTCTTTTTTTATTTTTGACTATTGATTATTTAAATAAATAGAAACATGTAATCCTGTGTTTATGATGAATGCACAACTAATTATCATTCAAATGTTTCCTATCTTTCTTTTTCATACACACAGTAAAACAATTTTCTTTCTAAATCTGCCAGTCCAAACCCAAATGTGATGTATAATGCAAAGATCACTGTGACGAAGGTCCCTGTTACATTATTTAAACGCAAGCTTGAAATAGAGAGTTTGCTGCAGTCCTTTTCTGGCTCAATGAGTTGTGAGGGAATATGTGCTTTGAGGTAACTGTAATGTCCTTAAATAACTGTAACCCAGTGGCATCATAATAAACAGTGCCCTTGGCTGTGGTCACATGACCACATCTGCACAATCTGCTACCCACGTGGACTGTGTCATCAGCTCTGATCACATCACTGCTGACCTGAGATACTTCGCTGCTACAGACGTTATTGCGGCACAAATCGGTACAGTGGCAGTATTGAGGTATCAGATGGTAACTGTGGTATATACTATGATGCTGAATGATTACCACATTTATATGTCATGGTACAGTATTTACATACATGGTACTCTAGAATACCATGAAATGACCATGGAACATGTCCAATCTGTGTGTGTGTCTGTTTGGTGTATTAAAAATAATTATGTATTATAAAAAATATGATTGTTGTAATTTTTTTAGATTACATTTTTGCCTCTTTCCTGTATATTCAGAAAAAAAAACATATATAACACAAAAAACATATATAATTATCTGAAATAGATTTTTTATGTTTTTATTGGTCCCCATGAGGAAAACGGTTAATAAAGGATACTAAATTATGCTTTGTTTTGTTTTAAATGCAGAAAGCTTTGGTGTAGGGGTCATTTTAGGGTTAGGGCTAGTAGGAAATGGAATTAGCTCAGTATAAAAACCATAATGCTTATGGAATGTCCTCATAATGATATGAAAAAAAAAGTGGAAAAAAAATTGCACTTTGAAACCTACTTGAAAGTTTGCGTTGTCAGGCCACACAGCTGTTGTTGTGTAAATGGACGGCCAGAACGCATTACAAGTTTTCTGTTTTCAGGTGAAAAAGGTGTCGTGTGAGCGGCCCCTGAGTTAATAACTAATGATTTTTTACAACAGAAATTAATAAATTAAAAACGTTTAAAAAAAAGCTAGAGACACTTTCTTCTAGATCAGCTGTACAGCCAAAACAATCTTTGTTGCATTCATTTCCTATTATCACTGTAAAGCTGCTTTGAAACAATATGTATTGTAAAAAGCACTATAAATGAAGGTGACTTGACTTGAAAACCAGATAGGAGATTATTTTTTGGAAAACTAGTTAATGACGCAGCTGTGTTTGTGTGAGGGAATGACACAATGAATTGGGTTAAATAAATAAACTTAAGTGTACAATATGAACTTGGAGAATGTGGCTTTATTAGATTACAAAAGCACCTAAAAAATAGCATCACTACTCTGTGCGAAATTTGGGCTAGTGCACATAGAATTAGAGTCTTTGCGTGTGTGTGTGTGTGTGCATGTGTGAACAGGATAAGTCCATGAGTACCGTGTAATCAGTGTGCAGTCTAAGCCTCATAATGAGCGTTTATGATGGTCTACTCTGATAGGAGACACGCTGTGATTGCTGTCCCCCAAACACTCCACTGGAGACAGACCGTAACTAGCTACCACACACGTACACACTGAGTAGGGCTCTACCACAGGCGTCCAAACACAAGCTCCGTCAAGCGTGTCCACACCCAGGCCGGATATGTTCATGGTTATGCTAACAGACAGAGTGGTGCTCCTTTGATGCTGTTGTTTCTAGCAACTCTCTTTTCATTACACTGCAAGATTATTCATCACACACACACACACACACACACACACACACACACACACACACACACACACACACACACACACACACACACACACAACCAGCAGACCGCAAGCCTTCCACTGAGAAAAAAAAGGCTTCCACTCTTCCACATAATTACTGGAAGGCAGATGAGGAAATTATGCACCCGTTCTGAAGGAAAGCCTGAATAAACGTTTCAGCATTTTGCTTAATGGAAAGAATTATCTCGCTTACACAGAATCAGTGCCACACATTCAAGAGAAGACACATTCAAACACATTACAGCACATCTTCTCAATAACAATGTGACAGTCATTTCTAGGAAGAGAAAACTCTCTGATACAGCTAAAAACACTGCCGTTCAAAAATGTGAGGATGATGAGAGTTTTTTAATGTTTTTGAAAGTAGTCTCTTATGCTCACCAAGGCTGCATTTATTTAATCAAGAATATTTAAGCAACTCTTTTTTATTATGTTTTAAAATTGTATTTATTCCTGCAGGCAAAGCTGAATTTTCAGCAGCTTTCAGCAATTTTCACATTTCCCCAGTCACCAGTGTCACGTGATCCTACAGAAATCATTCTAATATGCTGATTTGCTGAAACATTTCGTATTGTTATCAATGTTGAAAAAACAATTGTGCCGCTTAATATTTTTGTGGAAATTGTAATACATTTTTAAAGATTCTTTGGTGAACAGAAATTTCTAAAGAACAGCCTTGAAAAGAACAGATTTTGTAATAAAGTAAAAGTATTTACTGCCACTTTGGATCAAATTAATGCATCCTTGCTGAATATAGTATTGGTGTTTTAATGTTTTACCCCTCTACAAAATAATAAAGGCTTTTTAACTTTTGTAACCTACTGAGTGCCTGGACTTGGATTTTTTCCAATCTTTTTATGAACATTTAACCCTCCCAAGAGCACCAGAGGATACAAGGGACACCAGCAGCGCTCCAGCTTCCCTTTGTCTACTAAATTAATGTTGTTGGTTAATCCAGTCATATTAAATAATGATTGCAATAATGGATGTAACCTCATAGCAAAATTTTACCATATACTATGCTAGCACTGAACAACTAAGTAGCTTTTGACCACCAATTTTCCAGTCTAAAGGACT